TTAAACGTGAAAATCTAAACGGTTTTGTGGAACAAGAACCTGATTTATGCAACACAAAGAGTGAGAATAAGCCATAACTTCTTCAGAAAGCAAACAGTTGAAACCAGGTTGAAATTACAGTTAGGCTTCAGTGTTTCCATAGTGGCCACAAATATAACTGAAACGCAAACACACAAACCTCACAGAGTCCTTTCAACTAAAACCCCTTAACTCTCTGGCTTCTTCTGCACACTTTAATAAGAGGTTGGTAGAGAGGGGATGTAAGAGAGAGCAGCAACGTTTCTGATGGGATGAGAGAAGTAGACAAAAAGAGGAAGGGGGTGGAAGTGGGAAGGAATGGAAATGGAGAGAGGGAGCAATAGCATCAGAGAAAAGGAGGGTAGACGCCTCTTCCACATCACTGCCTTCAATTTAACACAGGTGGTAAAGTTAGCAGATAACACTGATAGTTTCACCATGGCTCCGCACCGCATGACGAATGATACACAACAGGCACACACACACACACACACACACACACACACACACACACACACACACACACACACTTCCACTGTGAAACAGGGGTGGGCTGAGCAGGGATAAAGGGGGATGAAAGAGTCCAATGACGGAGGAAAAAAATGAAATGAAAAGAAAAACATCCCGGAAGCAAAACCTCTGTTTGGTGTTACAGATAGTTTATTAACCCTTCAGACCTGAAGGTCATCTGCGTATCAAAGGTCACAGGCATCAGGAGAGTGATGAAGTAGACAGGCCACATCTACAAACCACTGGGACTGATTTATATTCATCAGCAGGCAGATTTTAAGCAATAACTGGCAATAATAAACCAAATCATACCTGCTGGCCACCAGGCATCCTTAAAATGCCTCAGTAGGACCAAAACCCGAGGCAGGAAAGATGACAAACCCAACAGTCATTTAGTTTTAGATAGGAGAACCACCCAGAAAACCATTCAGCTTTTTATAGCACATATGCATCCAGCAGAGGGCACCACTGATAATCCCTAAGCAAAGCCAGTTGATACAGAAATAAATATGGCGGAGGGATACCAGAATGGGAAAGAGAAACGGTCCAAATGAGTCTGTTGTGGGATAAAAAATGCATTTTATGCGGTTCTATTTACAAATATAAACACTGAAGAAACTCCTTAAATTTCACCTTGATAGCGTGACACAGCAGGATCGACTTCTCATTGAAAAATTACTGATGTGCTACGAAGGCAAAGATGAGATGACAGAAAAGTGGAAGGGATAACAGAAAAAAACATATTATAATGGATAAAACATGACGTCACACTCTCCTGAACCCCGCCCACTCCGCCATGACGGACATCAAAACGACCACCGCGCTCCTTTAAAGCCGGTCTGAAAACAGACATCTGTGTCCTAATATCACCTTTATTTAGTTGATTTCACTTTAAAAAGGATCACAGGTTGCTGTGCAGTCGGCAGCACAAACAGACAACAATGCAAACCAAACTTGTCATTTTATTGTATAACTTAACGAGGAAACATGCAGCGGCGAAGGACAGCAGCCGTCAATCATAATGACTGGCAGCCCTCGGTTTAATGGAGGGTTTAATGTGAACGCTTTTTACTAGGTAAGGAGATTCATATACTTTATAAGAATGATTAGAAAGACATCAAATATTGCATTATGGAGAAGGTACGTTTAACCATTGGTAACCATGGAGACAATGGCGCATGTATGGAAAACACTGGTAAGCTGGTTAGCATCTGGTCTTTTTAATGTTGCTCCGGTTTAACGGGAAACGCTGTTTATGACATAAACCATGTGGTGTGAATTCAGACGAAGTCGGTAATTTGATCAACACATCAGGAGGTTCGGGTCGGTTTCTAAGCCAGCCGTTTCCAGTTTCTGTAAATCCCGCCGTCCAACCAGTTACGTTCACAGACAAATCAGCTCGACTACAACAAGAAGAAGCCATGAATAAACTGACAAAAACAAGTTTTGAATGATTTAAAGACATAAATCTGTAGCTCCAAAGGGTCAACAGGAGCTTGATTTCAGTAAATAATCTAGTTCCACTAGCAGATTATTTCACTTACAAAAAACATTTTTCCCATGTTAGAAGTGAAATCAAATAATTATTTACTTAAAGCAAGCTCCTGTATCTTGCTAAAAAGTTACTTGTAAGTTATTTTTTTCTTATTTCAAATGTTCTAAGATATTTGCATTAGAAACTAGACCAAAAATACTGGATAATGTTTTGTGTTTTTGCAGCGATGGCTTTACATTTTCTCATTTTCTGTGTTGCAACATTTCTCACATCGTATAAAAGGACGAAGCGGTGCGGCAGTGGAGGTATGGCCACCAAACAATCAGCACTCATGAGTCTCATTAGCTATAAATCTTGCTGTAAAGCAGCACATAACAGATTCTACGGCTGTTATAAATCCCACTTTTGTTTGAGGCCACCGCGTCATTTGTTAAGGTGTGATCAAAGCAGCTTAATGATGTTCAGCAGACGATAAACGCACAAACCTTAATGAGTGTCATGAAATGAAGAATAACAACTCTCTAGTGGTCATATTCAGTTTATTCATATCCACTCCCATTGTGCGTCTGTCAGCTACAAAAGAGTGTGAGTGTGTTTGAGAGTGAATGGAGGTAATGGGCAGTGCAGCTGGCCTGCTCTGCGTATAAATGCTGCCTGATTGTTTTAGCTCATCCTGGGTTTGATGATGGAGATGGAGCCGTTGTTCGAACACAGAAACTGCACCGCAAGTGCACATCTGTGGTTTGCTAACAGGTGTGCAAGAGACAAGAGGAGAGATGGTGTGAGAGACAGGATTCTGGAAGCCGGCCCGGCATCCAGCAGAAGCCAAATTAAAAAGGAAATCAAAGCCTTTTTTTGGTCCACTTGAGGATGATGGTGGTGTTTGTACAGTGGAGGAGATGAGGAAGACGCGGCGTGAATGTGCATTATATCCACATTGTTTTAAATCAACTCAATACTGGCAGATTCTACTTGAACAATCTCTTCACTTGGCTTGATGCTGATAATGTTTGCAAAGGTGAGTCAGACATTCTTACACAGAGCCTGGCAGTAAAGTTATTCTGGAGGCAAGAACCAACTGGAACACATCAAAATCAAATATTAAGGCTGCATCAAATTATCTGTGATTAATCACCTGAATCAGGGTCACAAACATTTCCACACCACAGAAAAAGCTTCTGGCCGTCCGTTTGAAAATCTACCTGTAGCCCAGTAAAAACTGGCCTTAGTCCCGACTTTGCTGCTCATTGGTTAGAGTGACAGTCAGTCACACAGTGCACTCAGCCAATCAAAGCACCTGTAGATATTCAGACCTGCTCAGCTTCCCCAGTCAGGTGTGAGGGGAGAGCTGGAGACAAAGGAGCTGCAGGTTGGTGCTTCCAAACAATCAGTTCCTCTCTTTGAAACTTACCATATAAAAATCCTGAAGATCTGAACATCCAGTGAGCCTGGAGCCATGAAGCTGTCAGGCACTGGACTATACATGGGATTGGTGAGTAGTGAACACAATGTTGTTTTGTTTAGCATGTTGGTGGTGGTAGCCAATGCTAACTGTTGATCATCAGTTGTCATAGGATCTAACTTCTTAAATTCAACATGTATTTAAGATGGTGAGATAAATGTTACCTTTATTTAGTCTGAAATATTAGATTTTGGATATAATTGCATTTATTTCTGTATGTAACTCTAGTTAACTAGCAGGCTGGTAATTTACTGGTCCTGTTTATTTTAATACAGGCCAGGTGACCCTTTTTAGGGATGGCGAGCTTCTGAGAACTGGCTGGGCCTGCAGAACCTGAGATCCACTCCATACTGGCCTGGTAGGAGCCTTATGCTCTGTATCATTTCCCCTCCATCCATACAGACACACAATCCACTATTCATCTCTTCATCTGAAACAACTTGCGTTTGGATATTCTCATCTCAAATATCTGGATATTCAACTATGGACTTTTCGAATGTGTGTTGGCCAGACACTGTGCTGACCGGTGGGGAAATTTAAGACTGTTGTGCACAAATGTATGGAAGATCTGCTGCAGAACTGTGTATATTTATTCTGTATTATTATTTTGGGTTTTATGTACGTTTGGTCTTGTGGTCTTCACTTTAATTTTCTTTTTAAAATACATGGTATTGAAAGCCGTTATTCTTTTGCATTGTTTTTATTGATTACTGACAACAGCTCCAGTAGACTAATTTAGTCTTCTGATATATCCCACCTCGTCCCTTAGTACATTAAAAAGTGCTGCATTCAGTGTAAGGGCGTCTTGTCTCTTTAAATCCAAACAAGCTGCTGCTGGCCACGCCCCTAACTCAACACTTAGTCACACATGAAAATGTCTGCAAACAGATGCGTAATGATACAACCGTCCATCCTTGAAAAGCAGAAGTGGAGCCTCCTGCACAACCAGTAAGAATAGTTTCTGAATGCAAAATCAGCAACAAAACTCTCATGTTTTCCAGCAGCCATTGTACAGCGCATGCAGCAGTAAAACCAGCTGTCCAAATGAGGTGGAGCTCAGTTGATTGTGATTCAACATTTTTGAAACGGCTCATTTTTCAGAAAACATTAACTTACTGACAAAAAACAGCTGAGTGGGTTTTTTAAGCACATGGACTGTTTTTAGAAGCAGCAGAAACCAAAATGGAAGTACAAAAACATATAAAACAGGTTAATTTTGCATAACAGGTTTCCATTAAAACTCCAGAGGAACTGCAGAGATCCACCGCTCAGGTGGGAGAATCTGTTGACACAATGTCTTTTAGTTCTGCGCATGAATAAACGGTTGACCCAAACTCAGGTGAGATCGAAGCTAAACCTTCTGCCCAACACACAAAACCACTATGAATGGATGAAAACTAACCATGAACACATTAACCCATAGCAACTAGTTACATTTACTCAGGTAAATTTACTTGAGTAACTTTTTGGAAAAAATGTACTTCTAGAAGTATTTTTACTACGCTGTACTGTTTACTTTTACTTGGGTAATTTTATTAAGAAGTATTTCTATTCTTGAATAAATTTCTGGATTTTCTTCTCACTGAATGAAAAACAAACATGTTTTGACTAAAACTCCACCAGACAGACACCCCTGCAGTTTCTGTTTCCGTTTCATGAGTTTTTATTGAAAGAAACTGATCTGGAAACATTTTTCTTTTGCATGGTTTTGTTATTTTTTGTTACTTAAATGAATTATTGTCATTTTTCTCCTCAAAATACCAAAATTTCCACTTAACTTTATATTTTGATCCGTCTGATGATGTAATTTTAAATATTAAATGATAATTTGATCATTTACTCAATACTTGAGTCAACTTTTTACCAAATGCTTTTTTTATTTTTACTTGGGTAATTTCTTCAATGGCTACTTTTTACTTTATTTGAGTAAAAATATGTTGAAGTAGAGCTACTCTTAAGTACAGATGTGGGTAGAGTTCCTACAAATTGTACCAAAGAATACTGAATCAAAAGGTGGTTTGAACATTTTGCAGGTTTATGCAACCTGAATCTTGCATGATTGTATTATTTGCTTCACATTTACACTTTCAGAATGAATCCAAAGTGTTTCAAACACTTTTTGCCTCCTCTACGTAGCATGAATAAAATCAGTGCTTGTTGTAATAACTGCTGGTAATTGGACTATAAATGATCAAAATTAAAAAAATACAGTATCTGTAGTACCAACATTCAGTTTTCTGCTGCATGGCCACACAGCAGCCCAACAATAGGAGCAGCGTTTACGTCATGCACAAGCCGGGTATTTTTCTCCCACTTCCAACTCTCCATCTCGGCCCCAGCAGGCCTCACAAAAGATTATGCCTGCAATCTGAGTGGCCACAACGGAGGATGGCCCGGCTTCATCCACAGCGCTTCTAAAGCTAAGACGTTTTAATTTCCCACTTTTTATCGTCGCCACACAGACCACTTTAAAACTACTCCGCTTCCAGCCAGTTTCATATCCAGGCCTCCAAAAATCTGCGTCTTAAACGGCCCAGGATCTTCACAGCCCGACGGTCCCCGGATGGGTCCCATCCCCCCACTTTCTCCCCCCAAAAAACCTGGCCAAAACTCAAATCTTGGCTTGATGGGCTGCGTGGAATTAAAAACCAAGCAATTACAGTGAAAAAATTGAAATCTTATGTTTTGTATGGGGATGGCAAGCTGTGGTGGAGGAGGAGATTAGGCTAAAGCCGGACTGGTGCTCGAATGGTGAATAAACCGAAAGTCCCTGAAAGACGCCACTTGTTATTAGAGTGTAAACACTGCCAAGCTGCAGACAAGCTGGTAAGAACACAGTGGACATAAAGAGGCCGTCTGTGGACATGTGGTATTATCCCTCTGTACATTAACTGTCTGTTAAACACTTGGCTGAAAGATACCAACTCTTCCCCCCGTCTGCATCTCCCACTTTGAGCGAATCCCCCTTTGTAATCCCTTCCAGACAAAGAGGAAGCGAACGAAGCGACGGAGACCAAGAGGACAGAAATCTGGAGGGGAAAGTCCACTGGGACGGTCGGCCTTATCTCCATCTCACACTGCGGGTTGTACACTTATCTTAACTGGTGGAGGAAGTTAATCACCAAATAGATGATTTATACAAAGACTTACATTCACTAAGTAAGAGTCAGTTTCTTCTAATATGGTCAAGACAAGATTTACATCCTTCATTAAAGGGGCAGTGCAAGGGAAAATTTACTTTTTTAAGCTTTACATGTTACAATGTTATCCCCTCATCAAAAACAAACCTGGAGTTTTCCTTTTATTCTTTCATGCATGTTTGAGAAATCCTTTAATCTCCATGGCAACCATTCAGCTGTTCAAAACGCCTGGGTGGACCTAGCTCCGCCTTCGAGGCGCATCTCCGCCTCAGAGCTGCAGTTTCCAAGTTTTTGAACTTCCACCCTTCAGACTAGCCAGCAGCAATTAGCAAACAGCTGGTGGAGCTGCTGAGCTCGTTATAGGAGCTGCTGCTCAGAGCAACGCTGGTAAAAACGTTGTTAAAGGGTTAACAGATGGAGCCATGTTGGGATGACTTCCTGGAGGCAAAGCTTCAGAAAGGGCAGGAGGTTTTAAAGAGACAGAGGCCCAATTTCAGGTCGTTAAATTAGAAAGTCAAATTTCTTTAAGTCGTATTTAACAGGCAGCATTTTTATAGCAACTAAGGGTAATAAAGTTACTAGATGTCTGCTTGTTACCTTTTCCTCATTTTTTATAAATAGAATTAGGAAAAGTTTTAATGAGGAAATATTACAAATGTTGATTTTAAACAAAAACAATCAAAATCCTGGGAGAATTATTAGTTTGTGGTGAACTAAGTGGTTGTTTATGGATAGATTGGTAGGTTGGTACATTGGTTGGTAGGTAGTTTGGTTGGTTGGTTTAGTATAAGATGTGGTGAGATGATATGATAGAACTAAAAGATTTCTGGAGATCCTTAAACATTTTCTTTTAGCTTGATGGTACAAAATCCCATTATAATTCAATTACACATTATTATAACCCAAGTTTCATCACATCATGTCTCCATGGTGTCACTAGAACTGATTTAAGAAAATATTCCTTATAACTTATACCTTATATATCGTATCTTTCTCCTACTCTAGTGAATGAAACCATGCAGATAGTAAGATTATGTCTCTAATTATACAGCAAACAGACACACAGATTGTCCCTTTGAGTGTGTAACACACACACACACACACACACACACACACACACACACAGTCACAGAGAGTAAATGTCTGGTCCTGCAAGGCCATTATGGTAAACCACGTGAGGCGCTTCTATTCATGGCTCTCTATTGTTCACACCAAGGTAAGTAGGGGAGCCTTCAGACTGTAATCACCTGCACACACTCACGTACACAAACACACACACACTCATTGATGAGGAAATGGGAAGGAGAAGTGAGAGACTAAATATTAGGATGAAAAACAAACGTGCTGTAGAAAGCATGTAGAGAAAATATACATAGAGCGACATTTGTTTCCCATGTGATCAATGATTACAAATGGATTTGCATCAAGTTTGCATCCAAAAATGATTTTAAAAAGTAGATTGGACCTTTTATCCAAGCGGACGTAGAAACTGCATTACATTCCTGATGAGAACAGCTGAAAAACTTCATCGTAATCATCAACATGTTGAAAACTGTAAACCTCTAAATAACTGATTTATTGCTAAAACTTCACTGTCATTTTCGGTTCCTATTGCGTTCCAGATTTTGTTTGAGTGAAACAAAGTCTACATATGCAACATGATACGGGCTCGTAAGCTAACAGGTCAATATTCACAGGAACACATTAGGAAAGCTGATATTTGATTTGCCAGGAGAACAGCTTTAACAGAACAATAGAGAGCAAACAATGAAGTAATGCTAAGGACGAATGCAGCCAGAGGAGAGTGCAGCTGACAGTCAATGCAGCAAAGTGTTTTAATGTTTTCAAAGCAGTGGGCAGGTGAGCAAACATCAACTGTGTAAAATACCATGTGATGGCAGAAAAGTCCAGATGAAGGCTGTAATTATGAAGGTTTAGGGGTGCATGGAAATGTAGAAATAAACAGATTGGTAATATTTTTCTCAGTGGTTTTAATGAGTTAGAAAAAAAAACGTAACTCAATGAAAATGATTAACTAAAACAGCTGACAACATGCATGCAAAGATGAAAATATGGTAAATATTCATAGAAGGTGAACGCGGCATTAAATGGTGGACAGAAGCATGTTTATTGCTTTTAGTGCATTAAGCATGTATTTAATACATATAGAAGATGGAAGTTTGATTACAGAGATCAAACTGGTTTGTTTCTTATCTTTTAGGGTCCATTCACCCCAGCCAGGTTTGGTCCATGTTAACTGTTTGTTTGTCTAGAAGCTGTTTTGTGTGGCGAGGTGTGAATTTAACTCTGATTCAGATCAAAAAAGCAAAGCCTGGTCCTACAAACCTCGCTCCCAGTTTGGTTGAAGTGAACTCTGATGTGGTTTGAATGCTTATGTGAACGTCAAGCGGACTGGGGGCCGCTCCAAAATCAGGAAGTGGACTGCAGTGCAGGGCATTCTGGGTAAATACAACCAAAAGAAATGTGTTAGCCTAGCGCTAGCAGGAGAAATGGCTCCTTATTTTTTATCAAAGACAAAAGCAAAATCCTACAACTTCTAAAATCTGACGTCACTCCTCTTCTGTTTACATTTTGCAAAGAAGAAAGTTGTGTTCAGTGTTTTCTTCAGAGTTTTTTTGTGTCGTTCCTTCAGTGGTTCTTGGTGCAGCACCCCCACAGGCCAGGAGGGGAACAGGTTTTCTAATTGGTTTGGTTTGTTTGACACAGAGCAATGTGAAAGAAACCACCGCAGATGAAAATGCAACAAATACAGAAATTTTGGTCCCAATCAAACCGACTCCACCGGGCTGACAGATGTGAAAACTGCCTTAATCAACCTGAACGTGTTGCTAATGAGTGTATGAGCAAAGATGTTTGAATAATAAGCGTTTAATGACCAACACCAAAGCATAAAGACGTCAAGCTTCGTGACATCTACATTTTCTCCTGTGCTTGTGGGTCGTAAACCATTCACACAGAAGAATGATTGCGATTGAAATTGTAGCATGAATGGCTACATAAAAATATATATATATATAATTTCAATTAAAAAAAGAAGAAATTACACACAGCTGGACTATAATTACACTTGATTTTATTTCAGGGTATCAGAATATGCAGAGCTCAACACGTGTGTTATTTGTGAAAGCTGAAGCATGAAGAGGCTGGTGGTGTTTGTACACAGCTGATTGATATTTACCAGTGAGGATCAGCAGACATTACTGGCTCAGCTTCACCAGCCGCCGCTGAGGAGCCGCAGGGACAGAAAGGTCAATTAAAGTAAAGTACCGAATGTTTGAGGGATTTAAAACTAGGACGCAAAATAATTACAATGTGGTTTCGTGTCACTGGAAGACTTTTTTAAAGTATCATATGGTGCAACATTCAAATGCGTTATGTAATTTTTTTCTAAAAATGAATGTTAATGAGCTACCTTCTTCTCTGCAATCCCTCTCCAGTCGGAGAAAACATATTTCCATTTTAAGGCCTTAAATATGATCAAAGGATCGGCTTAATATAATCAGTTTAAAACCCATTTATTACCATTTCCCTTCCTCCACCTCCTCTTCATCACCGCTCTCTATCCCTCCTCCTCCTCCTCAATCTCCCTCCATCCTCTCTTCACCCGCTTCCCTTCCTTCACGCCTTCTCTGTTTCTGTCGCATTTATTTTCTACAGTCCATCCATCCCTGCATCCCTGCCCCACCTCCCCTCCACCTCTCAAAGTGTGTGTGTGTGTGTGTGTGTGTGTGTGTGTGTGTGTGTGTGTGTGTGTGTGTGTGTGCGTGTGATTTTAGCCGTTTTATACGAGTGCATACTCCTGCAGTCAAACCACAAGTCTCATTTCACTTCAACGAGGAGAAATATTTCAGGATTCTTTATTTGAGTTTGAAAAAGTTTTTCTCGGAACAAAAGTGGCAAAAATGATTTCAGAAACATAAAAAATGAAGAAAGAAAATGTAAAAATTAAGATTTTCCTGAACTCAACAGAAATGTTTTCATGCTTCTGGTTGACATTCAAGTCAACAAGAAAAAATGTTGGAATGCAATGAAGAAGCAGGACAAAAAAAATAAAAGTCATAAAAATCATAAAACCTTTTTAACCAGTTCACATTATAAATCATATACATTTTATGAGAGTAAACTCACAAGATTAAAATAATATTTCTGAGAATAAGTCATGATGTTACAACTTTATTCTGGTTTTCTTTGGACTTTATTCTGATAATGCAACTCGTAATACTAAAACTATTCTCATATTAATGTGACTTTATTCTTGTGACAATATAACTTTAGTCTCGTAATTTTATTTTGTATTCGCATGGCCCTGATTCTCCACCATACCATCGCAATAAACAATGAATCAATTAATCAAATGATAAATTAAAACAAACTCAATAATTTCCATTTGCATGATTTATGATTTTTCTATTTTCTGTCTTTTTACCAAACACTGGATGATAAAAGTTTTCCATTTGGTGAGTTTGAAGGACAGTTTTGTTTACTTCATAATTCTTATTTGATGCTTTTGTTGTTTTTTTGAGATTTAAAATGTCTTCCAGTTCCAGGGTTGCATTTTAATAATGATCTGTTCTTACATTATTATGCCACCACTGTTATATTCTGTGAAAATTAACTAAAAACAACAATATTATAAGTTATCGCGATAACTTCTGAGACAGATCATCGTCCAGAATAAAACGTTTATCGTAAGCGGCCGATTTTCACGCTGGAAGAGAGAACACCTCCGTCTCCTCTTGGGGAAAATTTACTGACCTTTATACCTTTAAATCCTGCTGGATCAATACTTTGATTGGAAAACCAGAGGCGTAGCATGATGGTGGGAACATGGTGCCTTAATCCCAGCTGAGGGAACAAAATGGGTCAAAAAAGATTTTGTGAGATGTGAACACAGAGAACTGGTGGAAATTTGATAAAACCTTTTCATCAGGCAATCGGTTTTTAACTATCTGTCGTTCACATCATTCCTTACTCTTCCTTGACTTCTATGTTTCATATTCTATTTCTGCAGGACAGAAAACATGCAGAACAACTCGGCGCCGTTCTGAAATCAGGCAGACAATCCAACGACCGCAGAGTGTTTGACTGACAGCATCGCCTTGTGGCTTTGGTTTAATTACTGAAGGAGAATTGGTGTGTGTGTGTGTGTGTGTGTGTGTGTGTGTGTGTAGAGGTGGTGGGATGTTAGGGGGTCGTAGAGGACAATGGAGACTTCAGAGAGGAAAGGAGTTGATGAGACATGGGGGTTGAAATGTGATGCTGATGGTTGGCGGTCGGGTTAGCATACTTTTGGATATTTCTCTATTTTTACATTATTAAGTAGTATCGATTAAAAGTTTTAAATTAATCAAAAATGAGCAACATTCCATTCAAAAATCTTTTTTGCTACTAAATTACTGAGTAAATAGCCACATGATCTCAACAATAAAGATATTTATTGTCTCTAATTGTTATTTTGGTTATTCTGCCATCAGATTGGAGCAAAGTGTTATTCTACAAATTCAGGTTTCCAGTGTTTCAGGAAGTTTATGAAACTTTGTTAGGAATGTGGACACAGACTTCGCTGCTGCAACGTTTAGCATTTAGATGCCATTTTAAACTGGGTTTATCGTTTGAACCGTGTTGTCGCGGCGACTGGTTGTGCACCTCTGAATTTTTGTAGCTGCGCAGATCAGACGCCACACAAACACACTGGATGATTCTGGAGGTGATGCTGCAGAGCAGGTGTCCCTGCACCGTCGCTAAAGGCTCATTTCAAGAGGAAACGGTGCCACGTGTCAACTCTCAACACCATGCCGCTGTCTTGACCCGAACGCGATCAACGCTAACTTTCAAAAGCGCTACTGTAGCTCAGCCTGAGCCAGAAACACAACAGAAAATTTACGGCTTTGGACTTTTATATGCAAGTTAAGAAGCATTAAATTGCGTTTAATTTTTAACATGTTAAAGGCTACGTAATGAATTCATCAAAATATTTTAGAATTTGACTCTTTAATGAGGCTGGAAACGCAGCCCTCTGCTGCCCCCTTCTGGCCGACTGACGAACAGAGACAAGCAGAGTTCACTAGTAACTAGTTACATTTACTCAACTACATTTACTAGAGTAACTTTTTTAAAATTTCTTTTAGGAATATGTTTACTACACTGCATTTTTACTTTTACTTAAAATTTCTGGATTTTCTACCCACTGAATGAAAAACAAACATGTTTTAATTCACCAGACTCAGACACACACCTGCAGTTTCTGTTAAAGTTTTACAAGCTTTTTTATTCAAAGAAACTGATTTAGAAACATTTTCTGTTGCCTGCTTTTGTTGTTTTCTGTTTCTTAGATAAATTGTCATTTTGGTCCATAAAATGCCAAAAATTCCACTTAACTTTAAATTTTGTTCCATCTGATGTCACTTTTAAATAGGAACTGGTTGATAATTTGATCAGGTACTCAGAACTTTTTACCAAATACATTTTTACTCTTACTTAAATATGTTAAAGTATGTTGAAGTAGTGCGACTCTTGCTTGAGCCACCAAACATCCTGAATTGCTGAAGATCAACAGGGTGTAGAAAACAGACCAACAGATTAAATCTGCTATAAATTTATTCACGTAATATTTCAACTTTTTTCTTGTACGACTTTATTCTCGTACTTTTATTTATCTTATTTTCTTAGTGTGGTCCTGAACTAAAGTCTGATAAAGTTTTGAACTGAATAAAAACTTTGATTCGAAGTCGAGCCTGGCTGACCTGGGAGGTCGTAGGTCAACCCAGGAGAGTTTCTTACATGTGAGATTAACTCAGTTCAGTCTTACACCCAAACTCAATACAGCCGCTAACAGCTTGCTAAAGGGATTAGCTGTGCATTTCACTTTTCTTACACATACTCACACACACACACACACACACACACACACTCCTCCCTAGCAGAGACTCGGATCCCGTCCATGTGTCACACAGATTTAGAGATTAATCAAACAGAGAAGCAACAGAGACGGAGAAGACAGCAGGGCAAATAACTGGGACCCGAGGATTGGCACTTGGGGGCCCTCGACAAATATTGGGATTATAACTGCAGCGCAGCATCACAGTGAAGTGTGTGTGTGTGTGTGTGTGTGTGTGTGTGTGTGTGTGTATGTGTGTGTGTGTGTGTGTGTGTGTGTATCAGCCCCTGAAGCAGATGGTCAGGGATGTTCGTTTAAGACAGACGATTGATTTTAGGAAACAGATATCCAGCCTTGTTAAGCAGAAAGCACCTCTGGGACCTGCTGACGGAGGGATGGAGGGATGGAGGGATGGAGAGGCAGAGCGAGCTTGTCTAACCTCCGCCGACTGCGGAGAGATGGATGGAGACGGCAAACGAGGAAAGAATAAGCGCATGAGAGAGAGCAGAACTGCTCCCATTGAACTTTATTACTGCGGATGAAAAGCGGAAGAAGAGGAGAGAAAAGAGGGGGAGAGAGGAGAGGATAATGGGGTTAATGCTGGCAGACAAGCATCAGCGGCGGTGGGGTTAATAACACATAAACTCACTCTCTCTCTGGGGAGGGAACAAAGTGGGAAAGCCTGCATTTGATCTGTGACTAACACATTAAATGTGTATGAGCGCTCTCTGATGTCGCCTGTGAAAGTGTGTGTTGTCTGGGCGCGTTGAAGGACGGAGGCCTCACACACACACACGGAAATCAGAAAACATTTAACACAACAAACAAAAAGATCGGACTCCAACTAATTCAATCCAACGACAACACCGTAAAAACTGAAACAACTTCCTGTTAGAGGGTGAAGCAGGCAGCGCTAATCCATCATTCACAAATGCCATGAAAATATCTTACATCACAACTTCCTTTCAAAATCAAAGCATGTGTGATTCAGACTGCAACAACGTCCAGTTTATTCTGCCTCCACTAAAAAATATTCACTCACCTCAGTATGTCGGATGCTTGAAACTGAACCTGATAGTTTGGCCACATTTACTGAAATGTTGTTTAAATCATCCGACTGTCAGGAAGCAATGGTCAGATATTTAACTGGCAGAAAAATTATTTAACCATTACATGAAAAAAATACACTAAAAAAAATCATGACATGAGAAAACTGAGTTCCAGTCTTGATCCCAACTCACGTGCTCTATTCAGTAAGGAATGTGTGAAAAGTGGTAAACATTAAACAAATTGGCAGGACTTGATGTCGCAAAGAATGTTTTCCACTTCCTCGTGTTTCAACCTACATTTCACCACCAACCCATGACCTGCAGCTTAAAGGAGCTGCTGTAGATTTTACTATTTTCAATGTGGACACACCAAACTAAAGGTTAGTTATGTCAACTGTAAAGCTCTAATGCTGAAGCTCTACAACATTTAGCAGAAGCTAATGCTAACATGTTATGGTAAAATGGTAAATGGACTGAACTAATATAGCGCTTTTCCAATCACTATGACGACTCAAAGCACTAAAGTCACATTCAACCATTCGCCCTCACAAACATTCACACATTTACACACCGATCTGTAGCAGTTTGGGGCTCAGAGCCCAGGAGGAAGCAGGAACTGAACCTACAACAACCCAAACAGCAACACGGTATTTAATGAAAGCGAATGCTAAAGTGCTGAATTCAATTTGACTTACATCTGCCGGAGGAATACTACAAACCTTGAATTTAATTTTGACATATAATGTACATGTACATTATATCTTGTTCTCTACTATCTGTGTTTTAGTTTGTTCCTTTGCTTTTCTAGTTTGAAATAAAATTATTAGGAAAAATAGAGAGGAAACGGAACTGCAGGATAAACACTCATCGCCCACTTCAAAATAAGAGCATGAGAATAAACGTCTAACTACTTGAAGAACTCTTTAATAGTAGATAACCAAAAACTTTTACACAGATGTTGAACTATGTCCAGCTGAAAGTTTACAAAAGTAAATTACTGCTAAGTTTGCTAAAAACTAGCAAACTCGCTAAAAACAATTAGCTTCACCATAAGAAGAAGTGCGCCGTAAGTGGGTACGTAAAAGTGACACGACAGGAAATGACGATTCTAACACGTGTTCCTGCCAGGAGTAAAAGCTTCGACCAAGGAAAACAGAGATCTGCATCCAAACACGCGTTCCTACCAGGAACTTCGTGTTAGAATCGCTTCGACCAAAGAAAACAGTTATAAGTTATAAGATACAAACCATATAAAACCAGAGATCTGCACCCAAACGTGTTCAAACGGTTATAATCATTACAGTCTTAATTACCTGGTAAATCCAGAGGAGTGTTGGCATGTGTGAGCATCATAATCAAAAACATGAAAACTTTTAATGAGGAAAAGGCCAAGCTTCTCCAAATGGAAGTTTTGAACTTTAAAATTCACCAAAAAAAACAACAAATTTACTGATATGAAGACGAACTGAAGAGATAAAGAAAGAAAACGCCGGCATTCTTTAATCCCTGCCCCCAATCAGGACAGACTAGTCTGTTTGTAACGTGAAAAAATATTTACACAACCATTTCTCTGCTGTTATTATGTCATAAAAAGATCATCACACTGGTTAGTAATTCTGTTATAACTGGACTGAATGGTGCAGAGCGGTTAAAACCAAATCCATCCATTTGACGGGTATAAAACCGATGCAGTTAACACTCTGCAGCATGTTTTAAATAATTCCTCTAATTATAGTGACCTATGATTATAGTACTATGTCAGAACCTTCACATCGATGTTATAATGTGCCTATTATGAAAACTAATTGCTATTTCAAGCCTCTAACTTCTTCCATTATTAAGCGGCTGAATGCAGACAGACAGTTTCCTGAATAAGTGTTTTACCGGAATACGAGAAACGTTGTTTGTTATTTTTCTATCATTTCTGAGTTGCAAATAAATTGCATATTGAGAGAAAGTTTGCTGTGGAACTTCATGTCACGCGTTTATTTCAGCTCCAGATCAACATGCCGCGCTGTCCTCCAATTTGACTGATGTTTGTGTTTCATCTCCAACATGCTGCGTATGTTCATGTCTGCATCCGGACCCGGCAGCCGCAGCGGCGCTGTAACCTTTAGGATGAGCGGCGATGGGCGCCGGATAGCGGCTGCTCTAAAGGTCTCCCTCCTCGCATTATTTCAGATTTCCCTTCTGCGCTAATCACAGACATGACGCCGCTGTGGAGGAGGAGAGCGGGGAGAATACTGGCGTATTATTCTGATTTTTTCTTTACATGTATGCAAAGGTGTGACCTGTTAGTAGAAAATTAAGCCTCTATCCTTTCCTGCATCCATTTAATTGGCTAAAATGACAGCCTTTCATCAATACTGCCTTGAAAATACTTTGCAGCGCTGCTATTTCTCTATCTGCCTCTATTTTTTTTCCACTCAACAACAGCCCCCCTTTTTTCCTTCCTTTATTCAATCAAATCACGGTCAGCGTGGATCTCCACTGAGGCCACACTGCAGCCAATTCTTTGTGTTTCAACCCTAAGAAATTAGGATGGAGAGAGGTCTCATTAGTCCACAGATCACAAAGACGGAGATTATCAGCCTGCACACAACAGCTGGAGATTTAAATGAAGGACGTTTAATGGAGCGCCTGTCATTCTGATATGATACCTCTATCTGAGGAAAAACACTAAATCCTGCAGGGAGCTTTTCACCTTTTAAATATTACAGCCCTGCTATGTGATACCAAGATCACAGAAACAAATTACAGCCACACAAAAGCCGACCGGAGGCTTTATTTAAAAAGAAAATACACCTCAGGAGTATTTCTGAAGCTTCTCCAGCCTTAAATCAGAGCAATGCAAGCACAAAATGTTGAGTTCATTCATTTATGAAATTTAGCAGCTGATTAAAGAACAACTGTTCCTGTACATAAATTCGCCTGAGCTGCAGTGAGCGGCGGCGGCGCGGCGCTCCCCGCCATCCACCCCTGATTTCTAATGAATACGTTTCTCCTCGCCGTGTGTCCTTACATGTTTTAGGCCACAATCATTTGTCATTTCAGGAGCCCCTTTCCTTAGACATTCTGCTGTCGAAAAACGATCCATTACCAGAGCCGCTATCTTTTCTCCTGTGTGAAGTGTCTGCATGAAACAGAGCAGCGGGGGATTCACACACACAAAAACACATTACAGCCGCCGGAGACACACATTTCTGCAGTGGAGACACTCAGACTTAAAGGTGGCTGATCGCCGGCCCACTTCCCTTCACTCGGATATACACACGTTTTAATGTTGTGGGTAAAATACTGTTATTTTAGAGCATAAATAAATTAAATATCAAGAGTCTCATAATAAAATATCAAAATATAAACATAAAATTAAG